GTTTATTAGTTTTTGTTTTGTTTGTTTGTTTGTTTTTAAAGAGTGTTAATAGAACCTATATCATTTTGTGTTATGCTTGTAGATCACTTAAGGTGGAACTGACATTTTTACAGTGTCTTCCTATCCATAGCATGGTGTATTCTTTCATTTATGTAGGTCTCTCAATTTCCTGTAGTAGCATTTTGTCATTGTCTGTATAAGACTATTGTAGATCGAGTTAGGTTTATTCTGATGTATTTCATCCTTTTGATAGCTGTTATAAATAGTATTACAGTATTTTCTTGCTTTTCTTCTCAAAGTTCTCTTTGTTAGTATAGAGCAGTGGTTCTCAACCTGTAGATCGTGGCCCCTTTGGCAGCCAAACTACCATTTCACAGGGGTCCCACGATTCATAACAGTAGCAAAGTTATAGTTATGAAGTAGCAAAGATAATAATTTTATGGTTGGCGGTCACCATAACATGAGGCCTTGTATTAAAAGGTCACAGCATTAGGATGGTTGAGAACCACTGGTATAGAGGAATCTGACGTATATGCTAACCCTGGTCCCTGCCACTTTGCTGAGTACTGTTAGTTCCCAAAGCTTTCTTTTTGAGTTTCAGAGGTTTTCTATGTTTAGAATCCTATCATATGCAAAAGAGACGGTTTTACTTCCTCCTTACCTTTTTGGATGCTTTTTATTTCCCTTTCTTGTGGCTGCAACTTCTTGTACAATACAGAATAAGAGTGGTCATCGGGGTATCCTTGCATGGTCCCTGTTCATAAAGGGATTGCTTTCAGTGTCTCCATTGAAAGTAATGTTGGCTATTGATTTTGTATATATGCCCTTAATTATGTTGGGAAATTATCCTTCTAGTCCTCTTTTGCTGTTTGTATCAGGAGTGGGTGTTAGCTTTTGTCAAACGCTTTTTCTGTGTCTATTGCTGTGGTCATGTAGTTCTTGGCATTTGTTTTATTTATGTAATGTATGGTGTTGCTTTTCTAATGTTAATATGTTGTTAGATTCTATCAGCTAGGATTTTGTGGAGAACGTTTGCCTCTGTGTTAGTGAGGGATGTTGGTTTATAGTTTTCTTTGGTGGCAGTGTCTTTGCCTGGTGTTGGTATCAGCATTTCAGAGAAAGATTGTGGAACTCTGTCCATCTCTGTGTTGTGGAATAGATCTGTTGTAATTTTTTTTTAATTTCTGATTTCCTACTTCAGTCTGTTGGTTTAGGTAATATATTTCTAGAAATGTGTGCATTTCTTCTAGGTTTTCAAACTTGTGTCATTCTTTACGTTTTGTTGTGATTCATTTTATTTCTGTTGGGTTTGTTGTGCTATCACCATTTCATTTCTTATTAATGTTGCAGTTTCCCCTTTTCCTTTGTTAAATTTGACAGTGATCTATCTTACTTTTAAAGAACCATTTATTTAACCTTTTAAAGAACCATTTATTAGTCTGATCGAGTGCTTTTAGTGTTTCATTTATTTCTGTTCTAATCCGAATTTTGGGAGAGATTTTTGCTGCTTAGTTTTGTTTTAATGTTTGCATGCTATAACATGCTGAGAATTTTATAGTCTAGTTCTTTGGGGTAGCTTAGTTTCTTAGTGCTTTTGTATCAGGAGCACTACAAGTGGGTACACAGTAGTTTATAGTCTCATAGTTTTGGAGGCTAGATGTCTGAACTGAGGGTGCTGGCTCTCAGTGAAGGGTTTCTCTCTCTGTTGGCTCTGGGAGAATATCCTTGTCTCTTTTCAGGTTCTGTTCATATTCTGGGCAGTCTTCATATGACCACACCACTGTTAGTGCTTGATTGATTGCTCATGTGCCTCAGCTACTCTTTTATATCTCAAAAGACAGACCATAATGGTGTGATCTCATTGACATAACAAATAAAACCGTATTCAAGAATGCAGTTACATCCATAAGTATTGGACTAAGGACTTAACACATATTTTGGGGGTGCATATCACTGCGTTTTAAAATGTTAAAAGTTGTATGAGATGTTGAATAGTAAATTAATTTGATACGATCGCTGAAGACAAATGGGTGCATAAGCAAATGTGGCAAAGAAAGCTGATGGTGCCCCGCTATCAAAAGGTATAGCGTCTGGGGTCTTAAAGGCTTGAAGGTAAACAAGCGGCCATCTAGCTCAGAAGCAACAAAGCCCACATGGAAGAAGCACACCAGCCTG